GTGAGTATATTTGAATGACTATGGTTAAAATTATATTGGTACTATTTACTTTCCTAATTTAATAGAAATATTTATGAGAACCTTTTTATTTTTTTAATCATATTGGAATTATACTTAGTATTTTAACAATCTTAATTTATTTTTTAACTTATAACTTTGAGCTCCTACCTGTTTTATATATATATATATATATATATATATATATATATATATATATATATATATATATATATATATATATATATATATATATATATATATATATATATATATATATATATATATATATATACAGGGCCGCCAAGAGGGAGGGGCAATTGAAGTAGTTTGCCCCGGGCATCACAGTCTATGGGGCATCACATATACCTTAAAAAAAATTTATTTTAATGATAAAAAATTCAGCTGATAACATATTTAAAGCTTAAGCAATTTTTGTGTATAAATTTCGTTTTCCGTTAAAACTTTGTTCACATTTAAAATAGGATAATTATTACTTTACAAAGTTTTCATTTTCCATTTGAACACTCACGTTTTCATTGGCCTTTTGTCTGCATAATAAAGTAAAGATTATTTTCTTATTTAACGGCATGTAAAAGTTTTTTTGGATATGAAACAAAATTGGAGATGAAACAAATTGATGGAAAGTAATTTTATAATGCATTCTTTATGTCACAATTTTTCTGGCTTCAACAAATTTAGCTTTTAAAAGTAAGAATATTGTTTTTAAATTTTAATTTATATATTGCATTATTTTATTTAAAATTTAAAAGTTAAAATTAAAATTTATGAATGGATATAAATATGGATTACTAATTTGATAATTTTTTATATGCAATTAGAATTCAATCAAAAGTTGTTCAAAAATGGGAATGGAAACTTCTTGGAGCTTATTGCTACAACATTGGCGCTAATATAGCAGGTATTTACAATGGAATTCAAGTTTTGATTAGGCAGAATAATCTACAAGTATTTTTTATTCCTTGTTCTGCTCACAGTTTGAACTTATATGCAGTACACGCTATTGAATTATCGGCTTCTGCAAAATCCTATTTTGGAAATACTCAAAATCTGTTCAGCTGCAGCCCAGTTAGTTGAAAAATTCTTCAGGAGGAGACAGACCAATAATTACATAAAATTTCAGTTACACAATGTATCTCAAGAATTGAAGCAGTGAAGCCACTAGCAAAAAACCAAGAAAGATCTTAAAATCATTTTACCATCCAAAAGAGTTAAACCTTCCAGGTGAAAGTAGTAATGAAGTGTATTATCTAACTTAATGGATGAATTCTTTTGAATATTTTGTTTTCATTATTTCTTGGTATAAATCTTTGAATGTAGTTAACAACGTGAGTCTTTACTTAACTCACTCTTGATGATGAAGTAAAGATTCTAAATGGCCTTTTGACAGATCTGGATTAAATCCGTTTGTCTTGGGATTTATTATACCTGATATAGGCAACAGAAGTTGCAAAGAACTTGAAATTTAATGAAATTATGTTTTCTGCAAAGTGAACGCAAAAAAAGAAGGTCTTCCTTGATAAAACTGCTAGTTACTACCACGAAGAATCATCAAAAAACTTTGAGTGTATTGTCTTCAATGTTGCTCTCGACAATCTCATTAGTCAAATGAGATCAAGATTTAAAGTAATGAAAGAGGAATGTAACAAGTTTTTCTCATTTTGGTCTTCACAGAAATCTTAAATAGACAAACAACTAGGTTTAAAAGCTAAGAATCTGGCTAAACGTTACCCAAAAGACTTGTAAACGAATTTTTTAATGAAGGTTTTTTTCCGTAAGAAGAAATATTCTAGCCAGCAAAAAGCCTGTCGAACTTCTAAATGAAGTTAATGTAAAGGGGTTGCATTTAATATTTCCACGAGCGTGTGTTTCACTTAGAATCAAACATTACCCGTTTCAATATCTGAAGGTGAAAGATCTTTCAGCAAGTTAGCTATCATCAAAGGTTATCTTCGTTCCACAATGGATCAGAAGCGATATTGCTACTTGATTGATCCTTTCAATTAAATCAGATTTAGCCAATAATATTTCTTATGAAGAAATTATTTTTGCCGCTAAGAAGGCCCGGAAGATGTGTTTAATATTAGGACTTAATTTTACATAGTTTGCTTTTAAAAACCAAAACTAATTAAATGTAAATTTCTATGAAAGTAAACAAAAAATAACTATACTAATTTATTTAGTATTTGTCATTTTAAGAAATATAATTGGGCATCCATTAAACATTTGGACCTGGGCATCACAAGTGCTCTGGTGGGCCTATATATATATATATATATATATATATATTTATATATATATATATATATATATATATATATATATATATATATATATATATATATATATATATATATATATATATATATATATATATATATATATATATATATATATATATATATATATATATATATATATATATATATATATATGTATATATATACAAAGACGATTTGGAAATTTAGCGGCTATTTTGAAA